GCCTGAGGGGAGAATCGACCCTTGGTCGTCCCAAACCCAGACCTTCACAAAACTCCCCATGTCTTTGGAAGGTGAGTGGCTTCGTGAACCCATCAGCTAGGTTCTTGGCAGAGGGACAATACTTCAGCGCAACTAATCCCTCCTGAACACTCTGGCACACATTCCGAAAGCGAATGTCTAGGTGTTTCGTTCTGGCCTTGAACTGACCTGACTCTGCCAAACGCAGGCATGGTTGATTGTCCTCGAAAACACGTATCGGCAGACAATCCACTTCGCAGAGTTCCTGCACCAAACAAGCATAGAACTCTACTTCTCTGCACATCTCTGAAAGAGCACTAAACTCAGCCTCAGTGGATGAGAGCGCTATAAGACTTTGCTTCTTGGACCTCCATCCAACTACTGAGTTCCCAAACTTCACCACTAGGCCAGACACAGACTTGCGATCCTCAAGATTAGCCCAATCCGAGTCCACAAAGCAAGTCAGTTTGACTTCTCCTTGTGCTGGCAACCTAAGACAAAAGTCTTTGGTCTCCTGCAAATACCTCAGAACTCTCTTGATGCCATTCCAGGCTTGCACACTAGGGTTTGATGCCTCCCTGCTGAGCAGATTGACAGCAAACGCTATATCAGGTCTGCTCCACTGGGACAAGTACAACAAACTCCCTAGGGCTGACTGAAACACTTCAGTATTTTCGAACGCAGCGCGTTCTGCTTGCTGGCTGTCCTTCACAAAACTAGTCTCCATAGGACTTCTCACTCCTGCACAATCACTCATCCTGAACTTCTGAAGCAGTTGCTCAATTTTACCTCTCTGGCTGAGCAAAAACTTCCATCCTGTGCACGCTCAACATTGACACCTAGATAGGTTTTGACAGCACCAAGCTGTTTAAGCTTGAATCGTTTACCTAGCTCTTTGGCAAACTTCTCCGCCTGTTCATCTGTTTCTGAGACGAAAAGCACGTCATCAACCCAAATCATCACCAGCTCCTGTGAGTCTCCTGATCCTCTAAGGAACAGGCAACTGTCAGCAAGACTCTTCCTGAAACCTAGCTTCTCCAAAGCTTCATTCAGGCACATGTTCCAGTTTCTAGCAGATTGACGTAATCCATAGATGGATTTGTGCAATCTCCACACAACATCCTGCCTTGAGTTCTCAAACCCCGGAGGAGGAATCATGTACAGCTCCTCCTGGAGATCTGAGTTAAGGTAGGCAACATCCACATCAAAGTGGTTTACCTTCCAGCCTCTCTGTGCTGCACAAGCTAAAAGCGTTCTCAGAGTCTCCGCTCGTGACGTTGGCGAATACACCTCCGTGAAGTGTATTCCCTTCCTCTGAGTAAATCCTCGAGCAACTAACCTGGCTTTATACTGCGGCTCTCCAGCGTCAGTGGGTTTCAAGCGGTAAACCCATCTGGAACTCACAGCCTGCTTCCCCGGTGGCAACTCTGTGAGTGAGAACACACCTAGATCTTTCATGGACTTCATCTCTTTGTCCATTGCCCTGTGCCACTTGCCTGCTTCTTCCTCAGGTAAACTCTGAATATCCTCGAAGGATTCAGGTTCACATCTTGCAGAACCTACCCAGACGCCTGAAGCGTCGTACCGATCAGGAGGCCTCCTTGTCCTCGCTGATCTCCTCAGTGTGACTCCTGGTGACCCTGCCGCTTCACTGGGTCCAGCTAAATCATCCTCAGCTTCAGTGTCTCCCCCTCTGACCTGCTGCGCCTCTTGGGCCTTACAGCTGGTCCAGCAGGTGAAGAAGGCTCACTCTTTGGCTCAAACTTGACACTTGCCTGAGGAGGTGTTCTAGGTTCCCCCCTCTGAGGGATCCTGAGCTGTCCCTGCCTTGGACTCTGTCCCTCTGGACCGTGGTCCCCAGCTCCAAGTTCCTCCTCCTCCTCGTCTGAGTCATAGAACTGCTGTGGAAGCACGTCTGGATTAGCGTGCAGACGTTTCCAACCAGCTTGCTCACAGAACTCAGCGCTATTGCTGATAACCAACCTAGACTGGTCTCCACTTGGGTACGCAAACCTCCAGGCCTTTGAGCCAGGCTCATACCCTACAAAGATCATTCTTTTAGATCTTGGCTCACCTTTCTTGCGTAGAGCCTTTGGAATAAGCACCCAAGCCTCACAACCAAACACAC